GTCCTGACCAGAACTAGGAAGTGCGACCACATTAGTCCAGTTCTCAGGTCTCTGCACTGGCTTCCTGTTCCTCAGAGAATAGACTTCAAAGCAGCTTTACTTGTGTACAAGTCTCTCCATGGTCTCGCGCCAAGGTACATCCGTGACATGTTTGTGCCATATGAATCGACCCGGACTCTGAGGAGCACAGGGACTGGACTCCTGTTAGTGCCCAGAGTCGGTACTAGACATGGGCAAACTGCATTTCAGATTCATGCGGCTAGAGTCTGGAACCGTCTTCCTGAGAATGTGAGACAGGCGTCTACTCTGGCATCTTTTAAATCTAGGCTCAAAACAATTCTGTTTAGCTGCGCATATACAACTGAATGATTTTATCTTTTCATCTTTGTTTTTATCTTTAATCTTTTTAATGCACTGTGACTATTTATGATTTTAGTCCCATCTGTGATTTTAATGTTTAAAGGTTTTTAATTTTTGTGATTTTATTTTTAATGTTTTTAATATATCTTGTGCTCTTAATGTGTTTGATTTATGCATGATGTGATAGGGGATGTGAAGCGCTTTGCGTTGCCTTGTGTAGGAAAGGCGCTCTACAAATAAACGTTGATTGATTGATTGATTGATTGCCAAGAATGTGCAGTAATATTATGGTTCCGCAAAATACAGTAAATAGGACAACAAAATAAATACACAATAAACAACCATGCATACAAAACAGCGTTAAAATAATAGTCCTTCCATAGAAAACAATATGTAACCCAATATATAACCCAAGGCTCGTCTGATTGATGACAAATGCAACACAATACAGAAGACACTGCGTAGTTAGATCATTTGAATGCGTTTTATCCAACAAACTTTAGATTGGAAATATCAAATACTGCAGATATTCCAGAAAAGGCATTAACATGGAAACAAGCAGGTGAAGTTACATCATTTGTTAGTGAAACATAGATTTAACAGATCCCAACAGTGACATTTTCTTTTACTATCACCAAGGCCAAGAGGATGGAATGTCTTGCACAAAAGCAACATTATGACTACTTCAACTGGCAACCCTGTTATTAGTAGACGCCGCTTTCTTCTGCACAACTTCAAATCAGGCTTCATTTGTGCAAAATGTGTCCTAGTTTTGTAAATGCGTGCAGTGAAGCAGATTGAATGGCACCTCTGTCCTCTCTCTGGGTTTTGTTTGCGTGTCCACATTTTGTTAGTTCAGGTTATTGTCACAGGACATCATCCGTCCTGTGCTCATGTGCCCACTCAGTCACATGCAGCCTTTTGAATGCACCTGCCACTGTCTGTAGCACTCAAACAGCAAAGTGCAAGTGCTCACAAATATATATGTCAACACAAACTGGATTCACTTGTAGAGGCACTATGGAGTTTTATGTGGAACAGACTGAAACTTTTGGTTTAGTGAGGGACATTGGTTTGGAGTGCATGTAAGTGATGGAAATAAACAGGTGACTTACGAAGCATTACACACAAAATAACAAGTAACAGGAAGGAACGTGTTTACTGTATATAGTTGCATACATTACTGCAACTCAATGAGGCTAATAAAAAACAAGATTCCGTTTATTCACCATTTTCAGTTCAAAAACGCTTGGAAACATCTATGCAAAAGTACCCAGTGTGCACATAGGCAAAAAAACAGAAGACACAAAAACACAGGAAAACAATTGGCAACGTGAAAGAGAATTTAAAATAAATGTGAGATCATCCAATTACAGTGCTCCGTGCTAGTTATAGGACCAACAAGCAGATTTTCAATGGTTCTAGTCCCAGAGAAAACAAAGTGATGCTGATGAGCTTTTGTAACAGTGGGATTTTTGTCCGAAGGTAAACTCACTCCTCTACAATTTGCACATTTGCCATTTGAGAGTTGTTATGACTAAAATAAAAAACTATAAACTATATGTAATCAATGTTTTCCGCTGGAAGCTGTTTTCTTGACTCAACTAGAAAACATTTTTAATTTCTTCTCTGTAAGAAGAATCATCGTTATCATGATGAGACCAGTGATATTGTTACCATCAGCATATTTGATGATCAAGTTGGCGTCAGAGGAAGCCACACAGTCGTCATTGTTCAATGTAAAAAGCAAAGGACCTGAAATACATCCTTGAGGAGAACCAGTGCTCACAACCACAGCAGATAGACAATCCTTGACCTTTCCCCCTGTGTGATCTGCCATTAAGAAGCTATCAATCTTATTCTGATTTATGGGCGGACAAACATTAAATACAAAGTAACATGTTTGTAATTGAGTTGATAGAGCATTGGCTTTAGAGCCTGAAGGTCATGGGTTCAAGCCAGTGGGGGCGGGTCCCAGCTCAAAAGTGGCCAAAATGACGTGCGCTGACATGCTTGCAATACCACCCCGGGCCGATGGGGGTGGACCCAGAAGAAGAATTATTCAATGCTAACATATAGCATTGGCAGACCTCTCAAAAACGTCTTTACAGGATTGTCCAAAAGTTGGCTCTTGGCCCAAAGCTCCGTTCCACATGTGTGTCAATGCTGAGGGGGGTGAATTTTTTTGGTCCACTCTAGTTTACTTGCTGTGAATTTTTGAAGTCTATCGTTCAAATGAATGGAGCTCTCGCCGGCTGACCCATGTGCAGATGTGTTTTTTCACAATTTTCTTGTGGGGGGGACCACTCACGGCCATTTTGGATAGCTCCAGTAGAGCACATTTTTTGGCTAGAACGGCGGAGATAGGCGTCTATGGTTTGAGCCCACCATGAGACCTACTTCACAACTCCCACTGATAACTGCTGTTGTTGTGTCCTTGGGCAAGACACTTAACCCAAAGCCCCCGCTGAAAGATCAAGGCTCCTGTGGACTCACCACCTGCAGGAGGATCAGGGAGGGGCTGGTGCTCTGTGTACTGGGTGCAGCTCTGACTGCCACCCCCCGACCCCGAAATGGATTAAGGGGATGAAAATGGATGGATGTTTGTAATTGCTGCTTTATGTAAATGTTATTTGATTTTATGCTTATGTTTTTATGCGTGTAAATAAACATGAGAGTTACGTGTTTAGTAAACAGCATATTCATTTGCAATAGTCCAGCCTTTGCATTTGAACAGGACAAAAGTTGAAGTAAGCAAGTGAAAGTAAACATTGGCTGAACCATGATTGAGTGGGTGTGGCTGGAAGTTTATATGTGGTATACAAGACACTGTCCTATTGAATTCAGTCAATCTCTGATCGGAAGGAGTCTGTGTATCACAAGAAAGAGGAGGACGTGCACTGCAGTTCGAGCAGTGCAGCATATGTAAACATTGGTGCACACATCCTCATGACATTTTGAAAAGTGAACTGATTCCTCTGAAGTGCACTTTTCTGGTAAGATCTGTGGAAAGGCAGCCAGCTCCTGGTAAGAATACATGGCAAACACATCTATTACTTACTTATCTCGATTCGGTTGTTCCAAAGCCCTTTGTCAGGAGTGTGTTTTACAATTCAAAGACTGGCACTAAATTAACAAAAATAAACAGAGCATGTAATGTTTGTGCATTGTTTCTCACGAAACAGGACTGAAATCAGAAGCTTGAGGGCCTGACTCACACATGACTGACTCTGAGCCTGGATTTTCCTTTAAGTTCACAAAAAAATAAATTTAAAACTACAATGTTTTTATGTTCTCCAGATAACAGTCTGAGCATTACCTTCTCCCTTCGGGCATACATTGTTTTGAATCCTTTCTTCGATTCAATTCTGACTTTTGAGTGCATTCATGCTGTTAGTCATTCCTTTTAGTGCAGAATCAGAAGCCAAGAGCACTGCATCAGAGCGCGCAGAGGTCTAGAGGTAAGTGACAAGTACACCTCCGCTGTTTCTGCAAATAGCTGCAAATGTGATGATAATTGCACACAATTACTTTGCTCTGGCGCTGCAGGTGTTTTGTATGAGACAAAAGACGTAATGCCAAAGTCAGACCTGTTTTTTACTTTTCCAAAAAGACAAAAGAGTCAGCCTTAAAGCCTTCAAGGAGAACTCTATAAGAATCATTTCCTCTGCCAAGTACACACTCTGCTGGCACATTGAGTCATAGGCTTTTAGTTTTAGAGCTGCATTACCTGGAGGAAGTTTATACAGTACACATCAGGCGGCTCTCACATGCACTTAGAAACATTGCTGATATCACTATGTAGTTGTGTGCATTTTAGTTACTTGTATAGAATAACTTTAGCAGCAACTTAAGCAGTGATGAATAACTGATGCATTACTTCTGGGTCTAATCTGGTTTGTTAGTGAATGTTGGTGATCAGAGCAGCCTATGGTACAGTTTGGAAGCCTCCTACAATATGTAGGAATACCACTGGCATAAATGAATAAAGCACAATTGTATGATGCACTTTGGAACCATGTAAATTGGAAACAAACATTTGTATACTTATATAACATATATACATATAAAGCATATCAGCACTAAAACACTGAAATCCTTGCTGCTGATTTATTTTTCCTTAATAATTAACGTTGCAATATTTCCATAAGAGGGCAACGGTTGGGTTTGTCATAAGATTAAACTTAAAGCACACATAATTCTGGAGTTGAATGAACCATGGAAAATGGCTGCTATGGTGGATTCTCATCATTCGAGTCCACTGAACGTTCCCTAAAGTCTTCTTTTCCTTTTTGGAATCTATGCCGATTTGGAAGCACAGCAAGAGTTGGGACAGAAGCAGGAGGGAGTAGGTCTGGGGGCTGTAGCTCAGGGCTCCAGCTCTGATCAGCGCTGTGTGATGCAGACGGCACAAAGCACAGCGGAGGACACCACACGGAGGAGAGAGACTGGAGGGAGGAGCGAGCGAGGAAGAGAACAGCCAAAGCTCGCAGCGTTCACACAGAGTGCTTCAACAAACCAGCGCGCGGCTACACCATCCAATACCACCTCTTTCTCTCCTGCTTTTTGCTTGTTTTGTGGGAGTTGTTTGAGGATTTTTCACAACAGTGATCGGGGCGGAATAGCTCCCAACTCCAACCATGCTTCCCTGGAGACGGAATAAGTTTGTTTTGACAGAGGAGGAAAGCAAAAACAAACCCAAAAGCTTGGGAGCTGGATTGACATATCAATCCATACTTTCATCTCTCCTTCGCTCCTGTCCTGACCTGCTGCCCGACTGCCCCTTTGAATGGGTGGGTAATATATTCCACACGAAAAGGCAGAAGGTAGAACTCAACAAAGAGGAACCGATTTACAATGTGAGATACTTGGGAAGCGTTGTTACCATCGCGGCGAAGGGAGACGGTTGCACCCAAGAGGCTGTAGCAAAAATTTGGGCGAGAAGCAACTTTGGAGAGCAGAGCATCAAGATGAGACTAGCGGTGGGTGCACACGGGATTCGAATGAGCTCGGATAAGTTGGGGAAAAAGAAGCCCGTTCATCTATACTCACTGAACAGAATTACGTATTGCACGGCCGATCCTTGCAGACCCAAAATACTGGCGTGGATTTACAGACACCAGGTGAAAAACATGGCGGTGGTCTTGAGGTGTCACGCCGTGTTGGTTAGCAAGTCGGAAAAGGCCCAAGCGATCGCCGTTAGCATGTATCATCACGCGACGTCGGCTTTCAGCGAATTTAAAAGGTTGAAAAGACAAAGCGATTTCCGTCACGTTCAGCAGCAGCTCTTGGGAGAAGACGCGGTACCTTTGATGCCGTTACGGAGGCGTCTGAACGGACAATGTCACTACAGGCCGCCGAGCGAAAATCCCGGAAGTGCAACAAGGCTTTGCTCCATCACAGAGGAAGAGGAGGAAGGTGATGAAGAAGACAAGGTCAAGAGCATAAAGCAGAGAATCTTGACCACAAACACGGACCCTACGCAGTTGCTTTCACAGCTGGATCTCGGGGACATTGCCAGACTGGAGCAGTGCCAGATCAACTTTGTCAGCGATAGCAACAACAACACGTTTACTTTTATAACGTCTCTGGTGTGACCATGGCTTCGTGTAGGAGGCTAACCAGGGCTTGCCATTAACTGTTTTTTTGGGCTAATATTGCAATGCTACAAGATCAGAAGCCCATGCGCTAAAAATTATGGATGCCTGACTTTGATTCAGGAATATAGGTCATCTTTTGCATTTCAGTATTTGAGGTAAAGCAAATGCATACATTGACAAATTTGATAATATATATGTGCGGTAATTATATATGGTAGAAGATGACCTCATTCACTCTCAAAATGCTCTGTTTTTTGGTTTTGCTTGCCAAGAACAGCTCTTTAGGTCATCAGGACGAACCCTAACCCAGGGCTTGTTCTGTTGCTAATTAACTATTGAGGAGGATTTTAATGCTTCAAGGTGAAATGTCTGTGCACTGAAAACCAATGGGAAACCAAAAACATTTTACATCTAGATATTTGAGGTAAAGTGCAATAAAAAAAAATTAGTAAACAATTTTTATACCCAAAAATGTGATTGACATATAATAATAACTTGCCAATTTTCTACTTTTGTAAATACTTTTAAGACAATATGCCAATAGCCAATATAAATATTATCACGCTTTCCCTGCCAAGGACATAGCGGTACATTTTATGTCAACACTTAACTTATAAAGTGCGTCAAGCTTGCTCTCACATTTAATATTCCGTCTGCTGTCTGTTGTTGGCAGGGAACGGTTGAAATCGCACAGCATCTTGTAAATGTTTGTCCTTGGCATGCAAAGACTATTATTATTACCTATAATTAAAGACACATGGACACACTAATACATGAGAGTAGATAACTGTTTTTATCCTATTTTTTTTTACCAAATTACATTGAGTATTATTCAGTAAAATGCCTTTCATGAGAGTTGACAACAAGCCCTTTTGGTTACTCTAAGATAAATGAATCCTTCTCTTCTCAGGCTCCTTTCTATTTGTGTTCAAGTGTTTACCAGGAACTTGTTTTTGGCGAGGCAGGGGTAAAGCTCCCGACTGTGGGGCCACAGTGTTTACAAAGAGATGCTGCAGATGCACACACGACAGAGATAGCACAATTCTCATTCTCATTCTTACGTGATTTTAAATGACTTGAATATGATGTTTTCTCCATAGTTTGAGCTATAAACGTCTAGATAGTCTAATGTTGGTGGATCACATTGTATTCTTTTATAATCAGAATACTAGAAATTTGCGTTATAGTTCAAAACAGAAAACCAAGTTAACTTCACATAGCAACAGTAATCGTGACATATAAGTGGATATGACGAACATTTAATATTATGATAGTTGCCTTGGTGATTTTTAAAAAATTGTACAAAACGAACAAATACATGAAAAAGATCTGTTTCAAATCAAAGTCTGCCAATATGATTCAGTCACGGATATATTTATGCACTGGTTTGTTTCTTGATATGGTTCTGTTCACTTGTGTGTGATGGATTGCCATAATATTGTCGGTCTATTGTTATAACCCAAAGGTACTTCTTCACTTCAAAACATCCCATTCTCCACAATATCACTGAGTTGAAGTCATTTTAACTTTAAGACACAAGTTAGATGAATCCTTTTTTGCGATGAACAATTCCCAAGGATCAGCAGGACTTTTGGCTAATTAGATTTTGAAAAGTTTTTGTACATTTGTGTAATTTTTCAAGATTATCCCTATTCCCCAGCTGACTTTTCAGAGCATCTTCACGGAGGAGTTTACACTGTTTTTCTAAAGAACTGAGGCCGCTAATGAAGCAGGCAGTAATTTAGGAGGCAAGCCATGGACTGGACGTTTTTATAGTCCCGTTTGTTATACTGCTTATCATTTATGCATGACATGTCAGCCTATCCTCCTGTGCACAGCTTTTGTCTGCTCCTCTCTTTGGACAATTCGATCCAGCGCCTTTCAAATGTGACACGTCCAGTGAGAATGACTGGGATTTAATGTGTCATTTGACTTTACTGTATGGGTTTCTAATACAGTCATATTTTACCAAAACAAAGTAACATTATACTGTATATGGTCATTTTAAAGAAAAGAACTGTTATTAGAAATTGATTAGTAATTTTTTAATCATACATTGTCCAAAACATGCTGATCACTTGTATTTAATGCTTTATTCAGCTTTCAATTAATTGAACGAATGATCAACCAGTTAATCGATATCAAAATAATCATTGATTACAGCCCTAGTGATTATTGGATTTAACATGTAGAGTTTGTGATCTCAAAATATGACAATTGATGCATTGTATAGTTTTATATTTTAGTAAAAAACTGCAAATTCATAGTTTAATATTACGGCCAATTTAATAATAGCATGTGGATGCAAAATGAACCCAAGTTTTGAGTAAATTAGAATCAAGATAATAATTATGAATTGTGTAACCCGCATTAGCATTTAACCATCACCAGACCACTATTACTGTGTGTACATTTTATCATCATCTTTTGCCATTTTTGCTAAATCAAATGTTTCCATGTAAGCCCCCTTTGCAAAAACATTCAAACTTTATACTTCTATATATTTGTGTGTAAAGATTTGTTGTTCATATGAATGAGATATTTGAATATTTATTTTGCAAATAAAAACCCACCCTACTGTATCTTTTGTGAGTCGATAGAGAAAGATTATTCCAGTGTGGACTCGGAGGATTCATCTATATAAATGAGAAGATGGTGAATGATTTGCATGTGTGTGATAAGAAAACTTCAAAGAGACAACACATAAGCTGTATTTTCAGCGTGTCACACTGGTCTCTCTCATTAATGTATTTCGCTTCTCAAGGCCCCGAGCTGGAGTCCTGGCACCTCCGTTCCGCGTGGAGCCATTAATCAGCGAGTGAATAGTGGGAGAAATGAACATAAAGCACCTGCTGTCAGATTCGGACTGGACCCAAACGTTTTTCAGAGCAGACGTCAGCTCTTTTTCAGATGTGACATAATCCTCACACAAGCCCCGTGTGGCGTTCAAATACGGCTTTAACTTCTGGAAACGTTGGTGCCCAAATCAAAAACAGACCTGGAGTTTGAGCAATGAGGAACCTCTGGCACAAACGCATACCTCCACCCCTTTTTTATGCATGGACAGAATAGGCTGTAGCTCCAGGACTCAGGCTGTAGAACCAGGACTGAGACTGGAGATCCAGGACTGAGGCTGTAGAACCAGGATTGAGGCTGTAGATCCAGGACTGAGGCTGTAGATCCATGACTGAGGCTGTAGATCCAGTACTGAGGCTGTAGATCCAGGACTGAGGCTGTAGATCCAGGACTGAGGCTGTAGATCCAGGACTGAGGCTGTAGAACCAGGACTGAGGCTGTAGATCCAGGACTGAGGCTGTAGATCCAGGACTGAGGCTGTAGATCAATGACTGAGGCTGTAGATCCAGGACTGAGGCTGTAGATCCAGGACTGAGGCTGTAGATCAATGACTGAGGCTGTAGATCCAGGACTGAGGCTGTAGATCCAGGACTGAGGCTGTAGATCCAGGACTGAGGCTGTAGATCCAGGACTGAGGCTGTAGATCCAGGACTGAGGCTGTAGATCTGATTCAAAAACAAACCTGGAGTTGAGGCACTTCCGGCACAAACCAACACAAACGTGTCCCTACACCTTTTTTTTTCTACATGCTTGGTACACAATGACATTTTTTTATAACATGAGTTATTATATAATCTTGTCATGGATAGAGCGGTTTTCTGCTCCAAAAACAAAGTATTGTCTTTAATAAATTTGCCATTTTCTGTGTGCCTTCAATTTAGATTTCAATTGGATTTCAATTCTTGACTTGGCACAGCGTTTATGACTTCACCGCAGGAAGTCATAAACGCTAGGTTTTTTTGTTTTTAGTGGTAGGTACCACTAAAAACATGTCACAGTCACCCGGAGGAAACCTATGCAGACACGGGGAGAACATGCAAACCTCATTCAGAACCCAGGACCTTCTTAATGAGAAGCTGTCCACTCAGCCACCGTGCCTGTCCCAACCAAACAAACCATCATTGGTCATGTTTATCCAAAGATTTGTCCCACATTTTATTTTACTATAGGCCTAAAAATTATTATAACAAAATTAAATGTCAATGTAGATTTATTCCCAAGTTTAAGAAACAATACTTTTTGTTCTCTAGCACCTAAATAAGTAAGTAATCTTTATTGATATAGCCCCTTTCACAGCCCAGAGTCACAAATCGGTTTACAATTGTGGGCATTTGTCTCTCCCTCCAGAGACGGGAGCGGGGTCGCCGTACAGGAGGCACATGCCAGACCTATTATTTTTATTTCTAGTGGTAGGGGAAACCGAAGCACCCGGAGGAAATCGGAGCAGACACAGGGAGAACATGCAAACTCCACACAGAAAGGTCTGGAGGTGGAATCGAACCCAGGACCTTCTTGCGTTGAGGCACTAACTACTGCATCGCAGTGCATATATGTAGTAAATGGGAAAAGTCCTCAAAATATATCACTAGATGCTGTAACGAAGGTAAAGGTCAGTAAAATGGTTTGTGGAAACTGTACAATTTGTGGTTCAGTAAACATTGAGGATAAAGGTGAGAATAGTTAGAAATATTTGTTCTTGCTTTTAACCTTTTCTAGCGCTGAGATTTCTAATTAAAATGCATAAAAGCATAAAAGAAGATATACATAAAAGCAACAGAAGTCTTCACTAAAGAAAAACTTTTCTCTCCCTGGACTGACAAACTTGCTCTAAATAAGATTATTGCATAATCTAAATCAAAATAGTTTCACCTGGGAGTTTGCATGAAAACATCATCATCTGAAGTATGGAAATTAAAAACATTTTAGTGCTCATTAATTCCTTGACACCTAACTGCACACCTCTCCACAGATCAGATCCGTAACTTGACCTGATGCACAAATTAAAACCCAACTAAGGGGAATGACAACTACTTGCTGTAAATGGCGTGAATCTGAGGATTGTAAATAAGACTAATCCAATGGAACTTCAAACTTGGAGCTGCATAATTAACAGTACAAGAGATGTTTACATCAACAGACAT